TGTTAGCTCAATAAGAAAAATTGAGGATTAAAGCAGAGAAAGAGACTCAGAAGGTACCTGGGAAAAGAAGGAAGAGGAAAAGCAGAGAACCTCGTCAAGACGAGTTTAGAGCGGAGGATAGTGCCGTATTTTCCGAAGTAGATGAGCCCCGTGAAAGCTGAAAATTTAAATCACATTGTATCCATTCATTTTCCAATAAAAAAACATCACATGTTTAGATAAACGATGGAAAAAATATACCTTCCCACCAACCGTCCATCAATTGGTCTCCCATCGTCCAGTATTTGGCCCAATTGTCCAGAAATTGGGGGTTTCGGCTGCATTTAATTATTTCTCGATTTAATTATTCTTTGCTTCATTATTTTGATATTAAATAATTTTTGTTTGTTAGTTGGAACATTCTTGCAGGTATAGAAACAATCATATCGTTTTTACCTATTTTTTTATTTTAGATCTTACAATAAAAATAGAATTTCCCTTAACCGTCCAGCAATTGGCCTGTTCACCCTACTCTCTTAATTTCAACCAAATGTCGCAAGCCCCAGATGTGAACGTTACATAGTAGGGCACTCTTGGAAAGAGCGTTGAACAAAGTAGATTCCGTCAATCAAGAATTAGATTTACTCCTTGGCGTTTGTGACCCTATTGTTCATATTACTTTTGAAAAGCCCGTTATACTTGAGGAAATAGTTCCGAGGTGACAAAAATCGTCGACTAGTTCTAGGGGCTTACTTAGATAGAAAAAACTTGGTTGCATTTTAGTCTTACCCTTTCTAAATATCACTTTTTATTTTCTTTCAATTATCGTAAGTTTATTTTCCTGACAATAATTTACTAGAATTCTGATTTTTCTTCACAAGTCAAAAGAGTCGTCGGTCAACAGAACTAGGTCGTCAGCATATGTTAAAAAAATAGTCTCACATCTGGAGTCCAGAGTGATACCTCTTTTTCTATTCTTCAAAAAATCGTCTTTTATATGATGAAGGAGCAGAGACCAAGAGGGGACTCAAGATCTCGCCCTGAAGCACACCCTGAATTACTTCTATTGGTTGTGATAAACCGTGCGTGGTACGGACTTTAATTTTAGCGTTATTGTACAAATTTTTCAGCAAATTCCCAATTTTAGAGCTACAACCCAATTTCGATTCAACAAATGTCTGGTAACTCAGACTTTTTTGTACAAAAATATCAAATGAATTTTTCATTTTTGAGAAGTGAAAAAGTAATCCTTAATTTTTTTGATGGAGTTAATACTTATCGTGTTATAATGCTGTAGACAATTACTTACCTGATGCCACATCAAATGTTGTCTTTCGCATACCTTGTGCAATCCCCTCCCCAAATGACAGGAGGAAGGTGGCTTATTTCATTCCTCGGATTTCTACTGTTGTAGAAGATCCTCGGAATGATATATCCCACATTCGTGCCTTTCATTTACAGAGAAAAATCGAATTTAACCATGCAGTTATGACGAAAAATATCGTGTGCACCGAGGAAGGACAACAGGACATCCTAACTCGCATGTTTACCGCAATCCATACGCGGGTTAGAATATCCTGTCTTTCTCCCTCGGTGCACATACTATTGGCCTATTGAAATAGCGTGGAATGCCTCTCTTATTAGTCCATACGCTAGGGGTACTTCTGTGTACATTGAGATGTCTATTAGATTTTATTACTGGATTCTATGTTTTCGAGGTCGCTGATTGCGAATATGATGATCGTTTGAGCGAAATCCTGGGCAGTCTCTTTGTTTATAACAATTTAATTTTTTAAAACGGAATATCGCGGAAACGGTTGGCTATAGGGGAAAATGTTTCAAACAAAAAATGTTCCTTATCAAAAAGTGGACATATTTTGTTTTATAACATTTTCTCATAGCTGTCATGGTTGCAGAAATATCGCGGATGCAAGTCCAGCGAGCGGCGCGTTGGCACTATTGCGTGGCGGCAACGCGCTCTGGAGTCTTTTTAAGAAAAATGGTTGGACGGAGAAAAAAATGGTTGAAACAAAAGATGTTCATTATAAAAAAATACATCAGATCAGTTTATTTACTTTTTCAATTATTCCAAGTAATTTTCGAGATATTCAACGTTTTATTGGCGATGACGGAACAAATTCGCATTGTGTTGATCATTAAACCGTGATTATCTCGTTAACTACTAGGAATAGACCAAAATGTCTAACAACTCAAAAGATGAGTCATAAAATTACCAATATCTTTTGTTACAACTTTTTTTCTCTAGCTCCGTCCGTTCAGAAAATGTTCCTGGCGCAAATCAGGGTATGAGTGCATTGAACGTCCATCTCAACTTCACACGTCGCACCCCATGTAGGGTTCGTCAAAACGGCCGAACATCGGCCGATCATCGGCACCGATTTGCCGATCATCGGCACCGATCACCGGCCAATGTTCTGCCGATCATCGGCACCGATCATCGGCCGATGTTCTACTGATCATCGTCCCCGATCATCGGCACCGATCACCGGCCGATGTTCTGCCGATCATCGGCACCGATCATCGGTCGATGTTCTACTGATCATCGTGCCCGATCATCGGCACCGATCATCGGCCGATGTTCTGCCGATCATCGGCCGACGTTCTGCCGACCATCGGCGTTTATCATGTACCGACTAGTTATATGCTTGGAGATAAATTTGTTCCATTCAATACTCTAGATCACCAAAATGTGGATGGGTGGGTTAAAATGGACACTTTAGACTTTTTTGAAATGTTAATAACTTATTCGCCACTTTTGTTCATTTTTTCATTCATCAGGACATGAAAAATGGATTGAATAAAAAAATTATGTTGAATGTTTTGATAATTATGCATTTATCGCATAGATTATTGTGTTCAAAAAATAATGGCAAGAGAGTTTCTTTTTTGTGCCCTTCTTCTTTCAAAATGACCAACAGTTCTGAAACTACATTTAGATTCAACTTACTTAAATTCATTAATACCCAATCCCGTAATTTTGGTCTCAATTTAGAATGGGCAAGAATTTTATGAACATTTTGTTTGTAACTCTGACTGTGGTCGAGTTGAGACCTCGGGAGGTTATCCCCATCGCTACCAGACGAACAGATGCTCATGTTAATTTGTGAATTGTCGGATAAATCGCAAAACTCACTGACACAACTCATGGATCCTCGACTTGCATTATCACCAGGTCCAATATCCATGTTATCAGAAGAACTTTCGTCCCCAGAACAATATGAATTTTCGAGGTTTGGTTGATGAACATCCACTCCTGCCTCGAAAACTTGATTCGTAATTGTTATTTTTCGCTTGGAAACACGGTACTTTCTCAGTCTATATGCCCGTGATAACGGCATATTGATATTCCTTGTTTCACCTTTTTTTTCACTGATTTTCACTTTGGATCGCACTTCTGGGTCATAACAACGTTTTGGAGTAAATGTCAGTAAATGCGCAGTGTTATTCGAGCATGGAGAACTGAACCGGCGGTGGTAGTGGTGGTGGCTCTATTCCGCAATTTCATACACTCAACCAACTGCCGGCAGTTTTCGGAAGTGCTCACGTACGCGAAAGAATTCAAATTTATACACAATACATATTATAAATTAATAAATTAGAAATTAATTAAAGAATGCATCGTTGAGAAATTTTCATTTTCTGTTAAAATTTTCATATTTTTTTTATAAATTATCAGTTAGCTGTAATTATATTTTACAACTACATTAATGAGTTGTTACTCAATAGCAAAATCGGCTCGGCGCGCCGATCATCGGCTGCTTATCGGCCTACATCGGGGCCCCGATGATCGTCGCGCCGACATCGGCCCGATGAGTGGCCGTATTGCAAGCGTCGGCAAACCCTACATGGGACAACGGCTTCGCAGTGTTATGTGGCGTTGCCACAGTTTTTTCCGAATTCGTACACAATAGTCTTATCTATGTTTCCATTTTTGAGTTTTGTTTTCATCCTACGGAATTGAAGAACTCACTGTCAGTTTGCATTGAGACTCCTGAGGGTGAAGATCGTATTTTCAGAGAGTTTATTTTTTCGCGTGATTTTCTGGCTAGATTGCACGTTGTTTAGCGAACAAATAGCAGAGTAACGAGTTGAACGAATTTCACTGAGAGTTAGTTGCTGAACGAATGGAGCTAGAGAAAAAAAGTTGAAATAAAACATATTGGTAATTTCATGACTCATCTTTTGAGTTATTAGACATTTTGGTCTATTCCTAGTAGTTAACGAGATAATCACGGTTTAATGATCAACGCAATGCAAATTTGTCCCGTCATCGCCCATAAAACGTTGAATATCTCGAAAATTAGTTGGAATAATTGAAAAAGTCAAAAAACTGATCTGATGTATTTTTTTGTAATGAACATCTTTTGTTTGAACCATTTTTTTCTCCCTCCAACCATTTTTTTTTAAAAGACTCCGGAGCGCGTTGCCGCCGCGCAATAGTGCCAGCGCGCCGCTCGAACTTGCATCCGCGATATCTCTGTAACCATGACAGCATTAAGAAAATGTTATAAAAATATGTCCACTTTTTGATAAGGAACATTTTTTGTTTGAAACATTTTCCCCTATAGCCAACCGTTTCCGCGATATTCCGTTTTAAAAAATTAAATTGTTATAAACAAAGAGACTGCCCACGATTTCGCTCAAACGATCATCATATTCGCAATCAGCGACCTCGAAAACATAGAATCCAGTAATAAAATCTAATAGACATCTCAATGTACACAGAAGTACCCCTAGCGTATGGACTATATGGAGTTCACAGTCGTTATATATAATTTAGCTATTGATGCCTCGATAACCAAAACATAAACAGACAAAATTAATAAAAATATAGTCAGTTATACAGACAACAATGTAGCATCGAATATAATCCGTTCTCATATGGCTAACTGCAGGGTAGAGTTTGCCTGTTTTTTTACATGATGGAATAACCAAAGGAATGCAAATTCAATTTAATGAAATAATTCATAAACCAAACAAGTTATTCTTCCTAAGATCGATTTAATAATTATAATAATGCATTATATCACAATAGAAATCTTCTTAGAGGTATCGAATGTTCATATTTACAATTCGGTCTCCAGGAGATGCAATATCATTTCTCATTTATACATGTGCCCGTAACGTTTCAGTTTTTAATGAAGGAAATGGCAAATTATTTGAGCAACAATTCCCAATCGTAATTATAACCATCGCATGAAGCCTTAGATGAGAGTGATTCATTCGTTGGACCATAGGCCAATGATTGCTATCGATTAAAATCATTATCATCTACAGTTTCTAACTATTGACTGAGCATTTTGAAATCAAGAATACTTATATGAATAATGCAAATAAATAAAAATATTTATAAATTCAGAAACTCTACGTGTTTCAGGACTCCATTGAGCCATAAATAAATGCACTTATTCATGGTAATCGGTTATCACCTAATTAATCACTGATGATCATATGCAATGGATTTGAATCATCAATTAAAATAATTGGATTTTAAAAAACGTCAAATTATCATCCCATTTTCAATGTTCTCATTCCTCCGATTCTCATATTCGATACAGTAACTACATATCGAAGTACACTCTGACAATCCTTCCGGCACGTAAGTAACGTAAGTATCGATGCTCTTGGCGTCCAGTGAATGCAGCGACAACGACATGTACTCACTGTCCGGCTCTAAATATGTCGCAGTCCATCCCGGCAAAACTGCCGGAGACAGTTCGTACATTACCTCATTGTAGTACGACTTTTTTTGCTTCAGCTGCGACTTCGTAACTGCCCTACTTCGTGTTGATAGTTTTTTTACTGCCTGGCACAAAAAAGAAAAACAAAAATTATTTATATGAAAAATATTTTTAAAAACAACATTTCGAGTGTACTTTATTCAATTCTCTGGATGCAACATCCAATGTTTTGCATGATTTGAAATATTCATGAAGGGGTCAATAAGTATAACATATAGGGGCAATATTTTCGCGCTTACCGCAATGGACAATTTTTTTATAAACAACGCGGTTCCATAAACCAAGCAAATCAAAATTATGAATATCCTTCAAAGGTCAGCTAAGACGACTAAGTACAAAATGAATGGTTTTTTATATCAACAAAAATGTTGGAAAAGTTTTTGAAAAATGATAAATTCTCACATTCTTACCTTTAAAATTCGCTTTCCTGACTCAGTAAGCGCTTTCTTGAACATTCTCCTAGTTTATCGATCCTCGGAAGCCCAATGTAATGCTTCTTCCCTATGCACACAAGCTCACATATACTCTCAAAAATCTCTCTTTTGTTTGATAAATATTCGGAAGAAACGAGCTTGCGACATTGATAGTTCCCTCGACCGTTTCGCTGATGAAATCGAACAAGTGGAATTGAATTGACGATTAGAGGGGGGGGGGGGTGAGACGAGTCGATTTTCAGTGAGGGGCGGTTTGGTGTAAGCTCGACGTGCACGCGACTGTGGCTCGCGCCGTAGTGCTGGCTGATGGCGGTAGACTACTCGTATTTATAAACTTATCGGGGGGATGAAATTCCCCTCGCGTATCAGAAGAGCCAAAGTTCTCCCACCATTTGAATGTGCATGTGTTATTTAACGTCCCGCTTTCCCCCAACCATCCCGACTTGTCACTGAGGGTGCAAGGGTGTTAGTGGGAGAAGGTGACGTTCATGAGAGTAGGTGCCCTATATAAATGCCCTTTGCTGAACCTCACGAGAAACGAAGTGAATGCAATCTCTATTAAAATCAATTTGTGTTTTTTGTCATTAAAAAACCCTTTGACGGGTTCGATGGAAATATCTGAATGTGATTTCTACATAATTTTCAATATCCCAACTTATTTTCATGAGGTGGAGATGATTAAAATTCACTTGTGAAAGTGAAAAAATTATTATGGTTTTCTAACTATACACTGTTTGACGGTATCACCAATGAACAAAAGCACTCCGCACCCTCTTTTATGTTTTCATTTTTTTTTTCCAAGGAAATAGGGATATTTTTAATTTAATTCCACTAAAACCTAGTAAAGAAAACTCGTAATTCCGTCGTATTATTATAATTCTTCCTATTGTCAATTTTGTACCACTGGAAGCCATTGCCATATTTTTAAATCTATACCAGGAGTATCATTGAGCCTTTCTTTAATATCACTTTCATTTGTTATGATTTTATTGCTTTTTTTCACTACAATTTTCTTTCAATACTTTTTTTTTCTAATTTTGAATTATTGGCAAGTATGATTTTTATTACTGGAAAGTATAATTGACTATTCATGGGAAATACAGGGGGTTCAATCATATTGGGGTGATAGTTTTGAATCGTAGAAGCCGTAACGAATTGCATTGGATGTCCCAGTGGGACTAGTGGCATCGAGCCCAAGTGCGAAATAACGAAAATTAAATTGGATGGAATTGGATTAACTTTTCGAGAGATTGATCGGGTGGTCCCACTACAATTTCACCAGAATATAAATTGATGTGTATTTTTTTTTATATGCTCACTCATGTCTACTGGTGTCTTTGTGGCCAGCATGATTTCCATTCATGTATCGTTAAACAGATCGTCTGATAATTTCAGTGAAATATTATGCACATTGGGGAATTTTTCAGCTCGTTGGGCATGGATTAATCACTGTGATTCATTTCCAATTGAAATAACATATGAATGTCCATTTGGAACATTATTTGTTACTGGTCTTCAGGAAACAGGGGGAATTTCAAGAGGTCACATAAGTCGCTCTCAAGCGTGAATTGTCCACGACGGTGACTGTACCCCTTGCACGGGCTGAACACACGAACTTTCACGCGGCCATTGCGTCTGTCTCCGAAAAGTCTTGGAATTTATAGAATTGAGAGCAAGTGATAAGGATGATCTAACAGGTACTTTCATATGAAATGTTTTTTCATCTCAAATCTCAAATCTCCCATAATTGTATCATGTATCGAATTTCTATTTAGCTTAAACTTTTATTGGCACTAACTTAATATAACGTTTATAACGTTTATCTAAATAATTTGGTACACTTTATCAAGGTGATTAATAGATGTCTATTCTTTTTCCCTTTGTTCAAATTTTTTATACTAATTGTAATATTTTCTAAGGCTGACTCATACTTCGAGCAACGCAATATCAAGCTCGAGATTAAATTCAAAAATCGTTGATGATGCGTGCAGGGTCGTGTGTTGTACGCGTGTGAGCGACGCCGTTCTCACGCGACGACACGCGTCATCCCCTTCCCCTTTACGCCGCCTCTACTCTCATGAAACACCGCTTCGCACGTGTCAATTCATATAGCGAAGAAAAAACTTATAATTCTCATAACATCGCCCTCCGGTCCTACCTCTTTTGTATTTTCTCATACCCTTGACCATGACACATTATACGGAGATTTCTCATATTTTTTCAAAGTGAACTTAGTGAGTAATTTTTATTGATTATCTGGACAGGCGATGCTTCTCATGTTTTTTCTCTCTCATTTTGAATAAAAACAATTATTTGTACGTGTTCTTGCTGGGGACAATACTTGCACACACAGAAAAATAGAAAAATAGTAGTTCCGTTGGGATAGCGCATAGCACGTTAACCGAACAAATTTCGTATACGAAATGTGTGCATTATTATAGCGGATGGTTTTCCCTCGGGTTTGATTTGACAGAATAGTAAGAGGGTTATAGGGTAATTATCTTGGCGATTTGCTACTTTAACAATTGATTTGTTCATTTGAGGAATATGTTTAGTTAGATTAACAAATTAATTGCTCAGTTAATTATCTGTAAAAATATGAAAAAATAAATTGTTACTGTTTCTTTCTTCATTTTCCTGCTTCATTATCCCTGAAGAAGCAACCCAAAATGCATGCATTCACCGAAAAAGCCAATTTCATTAACACAAATTATTTCCATTTGCCAAGACCGAGGATCAAACTCAGAACCTAACGATTACTAACCCCAACGTGCTAACCATTGGGCTATCGCGCAGTACTTACTCATTGTAACTATTATATCAAACATGGTCTTCCATTTCCTAAAAACTGAATTTTTTCAAGTTCCCAGGAAATTGCATGAATTTTTTACCTTCTTTTATGGAAGAACATTTAATAAACATCTGAAACTGAAAATTATATTTGGTATAATCTATTTAATAATTCAATGGACAAACATGACAATATATTGGACAAAATGAAATGCACAATATTGATGTGTATCTTTTTAGTGATTATTTCACTTGCAATTATTATTTCAAGTATATTTTAGATTTTCCTTAAAATAGTACAGGAGCGAAGTACAATCGTTAACGAAACAAGGGACAGAATAATACCACGTAAATGAAAATGGAATGGTTATTGAAGTGTCAATAATAGGCCTCAACAATAACTTGATAATAATCTAACTCACTTCGCGAGGTTATGTGATGCTATTTTTCGTTTCAACTTATTGCCTTATGGGAAGACTAGCGCCGCCGCGGCCGTGACGTTGAGGCCCTCTTTCATTATGCCTTTCCTTATTCTTTTTATCTTTCTGATGTTTTTTTCAAAAAATAATTATTCATCATCGTTCTTATTGTACTGAGTGTTGAGATTGATGAAAACGATGCGTGTCGGTTCATTACCTATCTAATTTCAGTATTTCAATAATTGATTCACTAATTCTCATCCTGATTATAATCGAAATTAAAATTATAATCATATTATCATTATAATCGAAATTATATCATAATTAAAATCGCAATTCTATTCAGAGTACAAAAAAATAATCATGAAATTCCTTAAAGCCGAGAATTCCCCAGTCTTCGCCTCTTCCTTCACCTCCCTTTACTCCGCTATAAAACTTTCAATTATTTTTCTGGGAAAATTATATAACTAATTCTGATGCTCTTTCCCTAATTTGGAGTATCTTCTTCTCATTTACGATCTTTTTCACAATTTTATTCGACGATTCCATCAACTTAAAACTTTCATGAATCATCTGAAATTTTTTCAAATTTCCCATAAAATCTAGAAAAACTTGTGATTTTTTATTTTATTTTGAAAACTTCACATAATGGTTGAAAAAATCCGAAGAATTTCTCAAATTTTTAAAATGATTTACTTTCTCTTTTCAACCAATCAAAGTGCAGTATTAAGGGTCACGTGACACCTCCGAAACAGTTTTATTTGGAATTTCCACCCTCGTCTATCAATGGTTTTCCCATTGTTGATTCAAATATTTTCAAATATTTTATCTAATTTTTGAAAAACCCCCGGATTTTCTCACATTCATTTAGAAAATCCCATAAATCAGGTGAATGTTTTGGAAAAAAACCCCAATCATTTCAAATTTGAAAAAAAAGCCAACAATTCTCTCATTTTTTAGGGAATCTGCGAACATCCTTGAAGTTTCTAATATGAATACGAATATATACTTTGAAAATTAGAATTTTGTTAGGACTTTTCACACAATTTTTTCAACATCGCAAAGATTGAGAAATAGTATATTTCTAACCTAGGGAGGGAAAATAAAGGATCCTCAGCCGCCAGTGCAATTACGCGGCTGAGGGTCCTTTATTTTACTTCCCGTGGTTAGAACGCGATTTTCCGTCTCGGCGTAGGCGCAAAGTCAGAGTTCAATCCCGCTTCGCGGGAAATGTAACTTTGCACCCGCCGGGACGGAAAAAATGTTTTCAGTCTTCAATAGGTCTTTTTGAGAACATTTTCAATTGTCTATTTCATGGAAAAAAAGAAAAATCAGAGCTCCTTTTCATTCCAACCAAAGATAATTTTTTCCGCCGTTTTCCTCCTTTTGCTTTTTTTAAATTTCTTACGTCTATAGTTTTGACAGGGAAATTGCCCTTAAAAACAAGATGACGAAGAAGAAAGTTGAAACAGCCAAAACCATATTCAGATAGGGCACAATCGATGGAACTTCATTTTTGGGGGCAAAAGAAGCAAAATTATGAAACTCCAAAAGAGATAGAATATCACAAGCCGGAATTGATTTGTCCTTACACCCAGAAAAATGTTTTTTCATACTTCTGCACGGAAAGTTCATACTTTCTTCCCTGATGAGCGGAGTCTTGACTTTCCGCCCTTGATGCACAATATACAATTTTTTTAATCAAATAAAAAATTTTATTTGAATTGTTTTACTTATTTCAAGAATATTTTTGTTACAAATAAATAAACTTGTTTACATGTTCCAAGAAAAAGAATTTAATTACATCAAACAAACAACTTATTTATTTCATATAAAGAGTTTTCTTATCTTGAAAAAATCACATTTTCATATATATTGTGAAGAAAAAATCGAAATTGTTTTTCAATAATATTGGTGGGCTGTGTGGAGAAAGGTCATATTGACCATTTTGGGTGTTTTAAGCCAACTAAGTGGGAAAAGATTGTACATATGAATTTAATCCAGGAAAGGTGAAATCTGGACCATTTGAGCTCTCTAGAATC